GCCCAAAACAAATTTTTAACAAAAAAAAATTTAGACCAAAAAAATTTGACACGACACGAGACACAATATACGACACGACACGACAAATAAAAAAAATTTGACCCAAAAAAGTTGACCAAAAAAATTTTTAACCAAGAAAAATTTTTAACCAAAAAAATTATGACCAAAAAAAATTATGACCAAAAAAAATTATGACCAAAAAAAATTATGACCAAAAAAAATTATGACCAAAAAAAATTATGACCAAAAAAAATTATAACCAAAAAAAATTATGACCAAAAAAAATTATGACCAAAAAAAATTATGACCAAAAAAATTTGGGCCAAAAAAAAATGGGACCAAAAAAAATTTTTAACCAAGAAAAATTTTGACCAAAAAAAATTATGACCAAAAAAAAATATGAACAAAAAAAATTATGACCAAAAAAAATTATGACCAAAAAAAATTATGACAAAAAAAAATTATGACAAAAAAAATTATGACCAATAAAAATTATGACCAAAAAAATTTGGATCAAAAAAATTTGGATCAAAAAAATTTGTATCAAAAAAATTTGGACCAAAAAATATTTGAACCAAAAAAATTATTTTGAACAAAAAAAATTTTGACCAAAAAAAAATTTGACCAAAAAATTATTTTGAACAAAAAAAATTTTTAACCAAAAAAATTATGACCAAAAAAAATTATGACCAAAAAAAATTTGAGCAAAAAAATTTGGAACGAAAAAATTTTAACCAAAAAAAGATTTTGACAAAAAATAATCACAAAAAAATTTTGACCAAAAAAAAAATTAAAAAAAAAAATTTGGACCAAAAAAAATTATGACCAAAAAAAATTATGACCAAAAAAAATTATGACCAAAAAAATTTGGATCAAAAAAATTTGGACCAAAAAAATTTGGACCAAAAAATATTTGAACCAAAAAAATTATTTTAAACAAAAAAAATTTTGACCAAAAAAAAATGGGACCAAAAAAAATTTTTAACCAAGAAAAATTTTGACCAAAAAAAATTATGACCAAAAAAAATTATGACCAAAAAAAATTATGACCAAAAAAATTTGGACCAAAAAAATTTGAACCAAAAAAAATTTTGACAAAAAAAAAATTTTTAACCAAGAAAAATTTTTAACAAAAATTATGACCAAAAAAAATTATGACCAAAAAAAATTATAACCAAAAAAAATTATGACCCAAAAAAAAAATATAACCAAAAAAAAATTATGACCAAAAAAAATTATGACCAAAAAAAATTATGGCCAAAAAAAATTATGACAAAAAAATTATAACCAAAAAAAATTATGACCAAAAAAAATTATGACCAAAAAAATTTGGATCAAAAAAATTTGGACCAAAAAAATTTGGACCAAAAAAATTTGGACCAAAAAAATTTGGACCAAAAAATTTGGACCAAAAAATATTTGAACCAAAAAAATTATTTTGAACAAAAAAAATTTTTAACCAAAAAAATTATGACCAAAAAAATTATGACCAAAAAAAATTTGAGCAAAAAAATTTGGAACGAAAAAATTTAACCAAAAAAAGATTTTGACAAAAAATAATCACAAAAAATTTTGACCAAAAAAAATTTAAAAAAAAAAAATTTGGACCAAAAAAATTTTTAACCAAGAAAAATTTTGACCAAAAAAAATTTTAACCAAAAAAAATTATGACCAAAAAAAAATTATGACCAAAAAAAATTATGACCAAAAAAAAATAAGACAAAAAAAAATTATGACAAAAAAATTATGACCAAAAAAATTATGACCAAAAAAAAATTATGACCAAAAAAAAATATAACCAAAAAAAATTATGACCAAAAAAAATTAAGACCAAAAAAATTATGACCAAAAAAAATTATGACCAAAAAAAATTATGACCAAAAAATATGACCAAAAAAAATTATGACCAAAAAAAATTATGACCAAAAAAAATTATGACCAAAAAAAATTATGACCAAAAAAATTTGGACCAAAAAAAATTTTGACCAAAAAAAAATTTTAACCAAGAAAAATTTTTAACCAAAAAAATTATGACCAAAAAAAATTATGACCAAAAAAAATTTGAGCAAAAAAATTTGGAACGAAAAAATTTTAACCAAAAAAAGATTTTGACAAAAAATAATCACAAAAAAATTTTGACCAAAAAAAAATTTAAAAAAAAAAAATTTGGACCAAAAAAATTTTTAACCAAGAAAAATTTGGACCAAAAAAATTTGAACCAAAAAAAATTTTGAAAAAAAAAAATTTTTAACCAAGAAAAATTTTTAACAAAAATTATGACCAAAAAAAATTATGACCAAAAAAAATTATAACCAAAAAAAATTATGACCAAAAAAAATTATGACCAAAAAAAATTATGACCAAAAAAAATTATGACCAAAAAAAATTATGACCAAAAAAAATTATGACCAAAAAAAATTATAACCAAAAAAAATTATGACCAAAAAAATTATGACCAAAAAAAATTATGACCAAAAAAAATTATGACCAAAAAAAAATTATGACCAAAAAAAATTATGACCAAAAAAAATTATGACCAAAAAAAATTATGACCAAAAAAAATTATGACCAAAAAAATTATGACCAAAAAAATTATGACCAAAAAAAATTATGACCAAAAAAAAATTTGACCAAAAAAAATTATGACCAAAAAAAATTATGACCAAAAAAAATTATGACCAAAAAAAATTATGACCAAAAAAATTTGGACCAAAAAAATTTGGACCAAAAAAATTTGAACCAAAAAAAATTTTGACCACAAAAAAATTTTTAACCAAGAAAAATTTTTAACCAAAAAAATTATGACCAAAAAAAATTATTACCAAAAAAAATTATGACCAAAAAAAAATATAACCAAAAAAAATTATGACCAAAAAAAATTATAACCAAAAAAAAATTATGACCAAAAAAAATTATGACCAAAAAAAAATTATGACCAAAAAAATTATGACCAAAAAAATTTGGGCCAAAAAAAAATGGGACCAAAAAAAATTTTTAACCAAGAAAAATTTTGACCAAAAAAAATTATGACCAAAAAAAAATATGAACAAAAAAAATTATGACCAAAAAAAATTATGACCAAAAAAAATTATGACAAAAAAAAATTATGACAAAAAAAATTATGACCAATAAAAATTATGACCAAAAAAATTTGGATCAAAAAAATTTGGATCAAAAAAATTTGTATCAAAAAAATTTGGA